TATCCTGAATCAAATTATCAAATTGCAAGTCAGTATGCATTAAAGTTAGTCCAGTGCTTTCAGCAACAGCTGGCACCCGAGATCAAATTGCAGTAAAAACATCTGCACTCAGTGACAAACTATGCCATCGTTGGGTGCCACTTTTTTGTTCTTGTCACATTTTAACACCATCTGTGATCAATAGCAGATTTGCACATTGCGTCATTTGACTACAACTACCAGGATTCCTTTCGTTCTTTCTTTGTTATTTAAATTTTGAATTCCCAGTGGGGTTTAAATAACAATTGCCCTAATTAGCATAAGAAACAGAAAAAGTGAAGGATTCTGGTAGTTGTAATCAAATGACACCATCATGCAAATCGCCTATTTGTGAGCAGACACACAGCAATATGGTTCAAATTTTGGTTCATTTTTTGTCAAACCTGTGATGAAGTCTTGAATAGCAGCTATAAGGGGTTCGCCATTTCTTGGTGTCACCAAATTAGATTTTACCTACAAAGAAAAGAACAAAACAATAACTGTGAACCAATGACTAAACATCAAGATTATAAGGACAGTCCAAGTTTATCGCATGCAATGAGATTGCAACAAGAGTAGGGTATGGATTGCTTCCTACAAATCAAACATATACTTGCTTGCGAAGCTGTAGATTTGAGTTCAGCATGAAACAATTCTGTACACGTGTTGTGAGCTTGCCACATGTGTGAGTTCATACCCTAACATTTACCAAAACTTAGAGTCAACTGTTTGTTATGGCCTCAAATTTTGCCATGCAGCCTCGCCTTCTTGTTACTTTAAAGAAAAAAAAATGCCAGTTCTTTATGCCAGAGGTAGTTGCATCAAACCATCATGAATCCAAAGGAAACTTTACTTTGCTTAGCAAGATAACAAGCTCAAACAAAAGACCATATTTGTATTTTCGGTATTGGACTGGAACTAGCTTGAGAGTGAGCCTAAAGCGGGGAGTCTTTTCAAATACAAATGACGTATTCATCTCTTTTTAATGATATTTCTCCGCATGAGCCCCCATTCCAAGCTAGTTCCAGTCCAGTACCAAGAATACGAATATGGTCAATTCTCAACAGGACACAAACTAAACAACGGTGAAGTTATTAAATCTTGAAATCCTGTGTCTCAAAAACAATGAGATTATATTAGTTTTACACTGTACGTACACCCATGAGTGTGAGAGCTTCGGCCTTGGCTTCCTCTGTTTGTGGAAGGTGGAGGTTCATTTCATCGCC